GTTCTAGCAACTTTATAAAACGACAGTTACCGATGTCTTTAGTCCTACTCTATTAACAGTATAAATATTTCATAACACTTACCAACTGTTTCAGTTCTAGCAACTTTATAAAACGACAGTTACCGATGTCTTTAGTCCTGCTCTATTAACAGTATAAATATTTCATAACACTTACCAATTGTTTCAGTTCTAGCAACTTTATAAAACGACAGTTGCCGATGTCTTTAGTCCTGCTCTAATAACCGTATAAATATTTCATAACACTTACCAATTGTTTCAGTTCTAGCAACTTTATAAAACGACAGTCAAATAAATCAGCCCGTCCCCACTGTCCATTTGCAAAACAAGTTCTGTAAGCACTGCCTACATAACCAACTGGACAAGGGGCTAAAACCCCAGTTCCTGCTTCTGTAGAATTCCACAATAACTCACTATCTTCTCTTTTTTCACACGAGAGACGACTAAAATTTTGAGCCTCTGTTGAGTTCAGTAGGTTTATATTTAAAATACTGTGTGTTTTCTGTACGGATATTTCATCTCGAGGAATTGATATGTTGTTCAGATGAAAAGAATTGTTATCTTGCACGTGACTGAAACGGGAATTATTTATATCATTATGTCCTCTGAAGTTTATCCTTTTAACTCTAGGCTTAGTGGTCTCCGGAAGCACAATGGTGACCTCTGGCGTGTTCATAATCCATTCTTGGTCAAACGATTGGTCAAGTGAATTATTCTGTTGCAATATTGATCCATCCGCTGTCTGTATCTCGTAATGCTTGGGTTTGGTTGCTAGGGGGAGCTTTCCTAGCCTGACGTGTTCTTCAAACTTTTTTAAGTTTCTTTGATAATTCCCATCAGGTAGGATTATTGGTTCTGTTTTGTACTGGTCACTCATGAGGATGGCTATAAAATCTGTGTAGAATAATATAATTACTTCAAAATATCCTGTAAACAAAATCCAAGTGGGTAAATTAAAGAATAAAATTACATAAAGCACATTGTCGCCATTTTGTTTTAGTGTAAAAAATATATAAACAATAATGAAAGAAATGGCGGTTGAAAGTCGTATAACAAAATATTTGATTGATTTATTTTGTTAGCGCACGTCTATAGGTCGAAAGGTGATCTAAAAATAAATCAGACCAATTAATAAGTGGCATGTCAAATAATAAACCAATCAGATTTCTTCGTTAGAAAACGGTATTATTTCTAAGCCTAAAGTGTAACATTGTATCACGAACTCACAGTTGATACCAACACGTAGACCCGATTTCTAATTAAACCTCGTAAAGAACATTTCTTAGGGATAAAATATATTTAATAAATGTGATAATACAGTTACTATACACAAATAGTATTTAATAAATGTGATCATACAGTTACTATACACAAATAGTATTTAATAAATGTGATCATACAGTTACTATACACAAATAGTATTTAATAAATGTGATCATATAGTTACTATACACAAATAGTATTTAATAAATGTGATCATATAGTTACTATACACAAATAGTATTTAATAAATGTGATCATACAGTTATTATACACAAATAGTATTTAATAAATGTGATCATACAGGTACTATACACAAACAGTATTTTGATCAATCATTCTAAGTTCTCCACACTATAGGTCGTTTCCATGCATTATTCAAGACCATCTCAATTTATCCTATAAAACACCGTTCTTTAAAATTCATGTCGCTATAAAAACATTCTCTGTGTTTTGATCTAGAAAGAATACTTCGGTTTTGTTCCCTAAATCTACTCACTAATGAAGTACTAAATTTCGATTAGAGTTAGGCTTAAGAATGCACTGTATGGACGAATAAATGTTCTGAGTTCTAACGGTTCATATTCAAGTTTTTATATATTTAATGTCTTCTTTACTTAATTACATACAATTTTATTTAATTATTATTATTATATATATATAAGGCAGCTAATTAATAGTCTCCACCGCCAACTCTTGAGATACTCTTGTCTTTACTTCACAATCACGACCCTAAAGTAAGAAGCGCAATTTTCAACAGCGGGAATCAAAACATAAATCTTTGGGTTCATGGTCAAGCACGCTACCCACTAAGCCACGTCCGACTCAGATAGAGAATATTTTATACATCTACAATACTATTAAATAATGTATTGTTTTAAGATTACAGAATTTCGCTTTTAAGCTAAATTACAATAATCGTATTAATATTTCAGCCTAAAATCGAAGCGTATGATAGTAAATTAATAACGTTCTCCTAATACAAATTACCCCCCCCCCCTCCTCATCCCCTATATATAAATGGGCACCCTGGAAAGTGTTATATAGTGTCGTCACCGATGAAATACAAACGTACATCACACATACAGAAATACTACTTACAACCAACCAGGTGGCACCTTCTTAATGTTTCCCAAGTCCTCATCTCTCTCACCTGTAGAAACGAACATGTTTCAGAAACAATAAACACATCAGGTTTTAAAGGTACAAATACAGACATTTCACTTGAGAAGTGTCTTAGTGTTTATACACAGTCCTCAACCGTGTCTTAGTGTTTATACACAGTCCTCAACCGTGTCTTAGTTGTTTATACACAGTCCTCAACCGTGTCTTAGTGTTCATACACAGTCCTGAACATTGTCTTACTGTTTATACGCAGTCCTGAGCATTGTCTTACTGTTTATACGCAGTCCTCAACCGTGTCTTAATGTTTATACACAGTCCTGAGAAGTGTCTTACTGTTTATACACAGTCCTGAACAGTGTCTTAGTGTTCATACACAGTTCTCAACCGTGTCTTACTGTTTATACAGTACTGAGCATTATCTTACTGTTTATACACAGTCCTCAACCGTGTCTTAGTGTTTATACACAGTTCTCAACCGTGTCTTACTGTTTATACAGTCCTGAGCATTGTCTTACTGTTTATACACAGTCCTCAACCGTGTCTTACTGTTAATACACAGTCCTCAACCGTGTGTTAGTGTTTATACACAGTCCTGAGAAGTGTCTTACTGTTTATACACAGTTCTCAACAGTGTCTTAATGTTTATACACAGTCCTGAGAAGTGTCTTACTGTTTAAACACAGTCCTGAATAGTGTCTTACTGTTTAAACACAGTCCTGAACAGTGTCTTAGTGTTTATACACAGTTCTGAACAGTGTGTTTTCTAGCGGAATTCTGTGTGGCTTTAATTGAAGTTTTGTCAATAACTGTTCTATCCTGAAAACTGGTTGCTTTCGGTTGTATCCATCTTAAGACTGAAACAATGACGTGCAAAATATAATCAACATCATATGGGCTGAGATAAGCCTGTAAGCCCAGAGACTATTTTTAAACATAGTTCAAGCTGAAGCGCTTATATGTCGTTTTAACGGAATTAGGAACAAGGGTCAAAAGGATCCATTAGCGCGAGATTATTCGACTGTTCTTAATTAGAAACGTTGCACACATACACCAAAATGGGTTATCCGTTAGAGTGATAAAGATCTCAAATAACAACGAAATACTGAAAATATTTATTTACTGGATGTAATAATAATAGAATATAGTGATTTACAGAGTTTAGGCTTAACAAGAACGGAAAAGAAACTGAGTTATTGCTTACTTACAGTAAAAAAAGGATTCGCAAAGTTAGCAATAAAAAAATCTGATTGAAAAAGTCAGATGAAGCTTATACAGAGTTTTGAGAACGTAATGTTAAAAGCAGGTCAGGTGATCAGATGTCTGATAAAATTGTTTATTGTTCTAATAAACCGTTCATGATGTCCATAGATCAGATGTCTGATAAAATTGTTTATTGTTCTAATAAACCGTTCATGATGTCCATAGATCAGATGTCTGATAAAAGTGTTTATTGTTCTAATAAACCGTTCATGATGTCCATAGAATCTGTCTCAATATTCAAATTACAGATGTAGGTGTTTGATGTAACATGCATTTCTCAGTTTAACAGCAAGTGTGTTTGTATTCCACCTCAATAATAATGATATTATTTGTTACAACATATGCCAAGACTATAGCTTTAATTTAGTTTAGAGGATGGAACAGCCTAGATGGACTAATAGGTATCTTGTTGTCCCTGAACGTTATGTTATATTGACTGTAGTTGCCAGCTTTAGTAAATGTAAGTAAAATCTCAGACTAAAGTATAACACCTACTGAACCATTTATTAACAATACTTCAAACTATACTAATATACTAGCTTTAGTAAATGTTTAATATGAACTGATTTATAATAATGATAATTTGATGTTATATTTTGTCAATATACATGTTTTGGTAAGGTTTTGTTGTGATAGCTGAAATGCTGGTGTCTGATATATTAGTATAGTTTGAAGTATTGTTAAGTAAAATCTCAGACTTAAGTATAACACCTACTGAACCATTTATTACATTTACTAAAGCTAGTATATTAGTAAGTTTGAAGTATTGTTAATAAATGGTTCAGTAGGTGTTATACTTAAGTCTGAGATTTTACTTACATTTACTAAAGCTAGTATATTAGTATAGTTTGAAGTATTGTTCACCTACTGAACCATTTATTGTAAAATCTCAGACTAAAGTATAATTACATTTACTAAAGCTAGTATATTAGTCTTTGACGAAAAGCGAGTTTTATATGTGAAAATCACAGAACGCTGATTTCTATATGTATTTCACGATCTTTCTATAAAGTGTAAATGAAAGTAAGTTCATGTTACTGTAACAAATTCACGTGAGAAAACAACCGTTTTGAAACAGTTGAAGAATAATCACTTTATTTATAAATATAGGTCCTTTTATAAATATGATTGTCAATTCTTTTCTGTTATGTTCATTTGTGAAAAATATATTTGATGCTTTGGTAAACTAATAAGTTTAAATAGCATATTGTACATAAAGTTTTGAACTGATTTTTTGGTGAGAAAGATAATACAAATTACTGTAACATTGTTTCAAAAATCTATGTTAGTTTTGAAAAATTACATCAATGAACAATTAAAACATGTTATTAGAATATTCTATTAATATTTAACTAAAAATTATACTGTTTATTGTAGACTGACCGAGCTTATCAACACTACCCGGAAACACTAACTCTGTTACCATTTGAGTTCATAATTCGTTGTATAATAAAATCGTAAATCTCAAATGTTGGTGTAGTTTTTAGGTCTAAGTAGATATCACAAATATTACAAGTAGAATTGAATCGATCATAGTCAAATAATATCTTTCATTATCAAAATTATTCTAAGCTATATTTTCTGACTGACCCTGTCTGAACTTTTGACCTACGTCGGGCACAGTTTAATCTTAGTGACTACAGTATATAAAAACAATTTATGTTGTAAAGTATGGTTGAAATAGAAGAATTGCACTCTATCTTTTACAAACTAAGTTCATTCGTGTTGTTGATTATCTCATATGTTTAACTGATATAGTATATTTCTGATTTGTCAACAAGTATATACACGTGAACGTGTCATGACTTTAGTCTCGTTTTTATTGTAAAGTATATTCTGTAATGGTAAATAGTAAATGTGTTAGATTTATAAACATAGAATAATAGATGTGAGAAACCTCTACTATTTTGTATTTATCTAGATTTGAATAATTTAAGTTAAAACTTTCAATATAATGTAAACATATTTCAAATGTTTTGTCAAATTGTATGTTTAATTAATTATCTAGTCAACTCAGCTGTTTTGAAATTAGATAGACTGATTATCCTTAGACTGAACAAGTCACAATGTGTCTCCATTGTGTTAATGACCCACAGATAGAAACGAAAAGAACGCCTATATGCAAATAGTTTCAGTAGTGATCTCTCAACGGTCATTGCAGTGGGTTAAAATAAGGATTTGTTTTATCTATAAGTGAAACAATAAGTTTGTATGTTAAATTATCCTATATTATTTAGAGATTTTAATAAGCACCCTTTTCAGGACAATTAGAAGATATAATATATTAATTATGGAAATGAATTAGTGATACGTTTTACATATATCAGGAAATGTAGAAAATATGATTAAATATAGAAACCAAAATACTACAATCAGTATGTTAAATGTGTGCTAAATCATAAAAACACAATTGCCTGTCTCATTCAATATTTATAAAAATGAAACATTAGGTGTGATAAAAACTTTTCAGTAGTATGTTAAATGTGTTAGAGACACTATCTGCCTAAATAAACACTTGTAATATACCCAAGGAAAACAATAAAGTTGATAATATTAAATGAGAAGATTTAATATTTTACTTTTAAACTGAAACCATCAACACAACATTAGGCAAGTTAGAATACATTATTTATTTTAAGACCTTGTTACTATAAAGTTAATGTCCTCTCTACACTCTCATCATACAACCCGCCATCTGGTGTTACTGTGTGACCCTAGCAACACACTCTAGACAACTTCGGATGCCTAGTGTCATGACAACACTTGCCTGTTATGCCAGCCTAGCTACGAGCCCTCTGTTCCACTTCGTGAAACTATGACGTCATCGTCTCTACTCTTCCCCTCTCTATTGCCTGTTGTCGACACATGTGTCTCGCCCTCTGACGGTTTGCTGCACAACAACTATTGTGGATATGTTGTTACAGTTCATAATCCCCAAAACTACAATCCACACATTTAAAGATACTTGGATTATTATTTATGTTGATTACTGAATATAACAAACTGTCCATACCTTGTCACATCTGTTGATCATTTAATATAACAAACTGTCCAGACCTTGTCACATCTGTTGATCATTGAATATAACAAACTGTCCAGACCTTGTGACATCTGTTGACCATTTAATATAACAAACTGTCCAGACCTTGTGACATCTGTTGACCATTTAATATAACAAACTGTCCAGACCTTGTCACACTGTTGATCATTGAATATAACAACTGTACCAGACCTTGACACACCTGTT